TTATATCATGGAAAGAAATATGGAGAGAGAAGATGGAGGGAGGGTGAGAGAAACTATTATCAATGATTATAATAAGCTCCCATGGTAGAGGTCTGTGCTATAGATCAGAAGCTTCCAGCCCTTTTAAAAACCTTCATGGGTGTCATTATGGCTCTACAGGATAGGATTTGGGATGTTTTTGTTTGAGTTTAGGAATTATAAGACATTACTTACAAAACTTATGTTCAAATAAGGCAGAAATTCTGGAGTCAGCTCTTTGCAAGTGTCTTGTCCCTGTCTCATTCCATCCAAATGACATTTTCCCTTATCCTCAGATTTCTCATACCTGGAGATAACTCGCACACTCAAAGCACATTCTAACAATGACCTCCCACCCTCACTACCACATAAGTCGATCATCATTACCTAAACTGCTAGCACCAGAAGTAAAATAATGCGTGCAAATGTGCATGTTTGGCAACTTCACTTGGTATCCACCATGGCAATTTTTTCAGAGCAGCCAAGAAATAGGAAGTTCTCACCTGTGATTGTTTAAATCCAAACTCCAACATAGGCTTCTTCAAAAAAGCCCCCAATCCTTGTTTTCAGTCCCTAGCCGATTTTTCATTTTATATTCCATGCCATTTCAATTACTCCAGACTTGAATATCATGCAGGTCTTCCTCTATGATATCCCAGTCCTCTTGTATATCAATGATGCTTCCCAATTCTGTGACATCAGTGGAATTTATTAGCTCAGTCCTAGTTTTTGTGCCAAAGTCATTAATGAAAATATTAAACAAGATCAGTTCCAGGAATGAGCCCTAAGAAACTCCCTCCCGCCTAGTACTTTTCTTTGCTCTTCTTTAGCTTGTTCCTTACCCAGCTTACAGTTCTTTTTTTTACAAACCAACATCTTCAGCTTACCTGAAAATCTTCCACAGGGAGGTCAGTATTAAATGCTTCTCACAGAAAGATTAAATCTCCTGCTTTTCCTTTGTCTAGAAAATCACGTATCATTCAGATATCTGATTAGTCTAAAACAATTGGTAAACTGATCTTAGCATTTCACCCTTATCTTTATCTCCATATCTTTAATTATCCTTTCCTTCAAAAATTTGTTCTCAAGATTCCTTATAACTGAGATCAGACTAATAGGCCTGAAGTTGCCCAGACATTTATTTTCCCCATCTTAAATATAGGTACTGCAGTCACTGTTCTCCAGTCACTCCCTACTTGATAGAGTTAAGAGTCCTTGCAGCTTGACTTGGGATTTCATGTTCTAGTTCTCAGACTTCTGGGATTTCAATTTTCTGGCCCTCCTCATCTTAAGCACATGGAAATCTACATGTTTTATTCTCCTTTGGTTGTGGCAGTTTCCTTTCCCATAGCCTCATTAACCATCCTGCCTCTTTCCTCATGTTCATCATCTTTGTTCTTGTTCATTTAGTTTTTGAGCCTCACCTTCCACCCTCCTTTTGAAGCTGGCTTCATGGGCAGCCAGAAGAGGAAGATAACTGTGTCCAGAAAGGGAGGCTGGAAGGTGTGTGGCTTAGTGAGATACTTGCTGTTTGAGAAGGAAACTCTGGGTTTTAGCCTGATTCCTTGCTCTCAATGGGGCAGACATTTCCTCACTCCTCCTTGTTTATTTTATACAGTGAATAATAAATGTAAGATGTATCGGTTCCAGCTTCAGGAGGAGGTTAGAGAAAGGCCTGGAAAATGCCTGTCATGTGACCTGGTTAGAGCACTCTGCTGGGAAGTCAGCTTCAAAGCTCATCTAGGTGATAGAGTGGATGCTTTAACCTTGGTGTCTGGCTTCTTGAGCAAATGTTCTTGGGATTCATTATGAGAGGTCCCCTCCCCACCATCCCCAGTTTTTGCACAGCTGGTATGTTTGCCTTTCTCTGCCCTATGCATTGCAGAGTAGTAGAGACACAGTAAGCAATTAATAATTGCCCAGCCAATACCTATATGTATTGGGAAGGTATGTATGAACCTGCTGAATATTTACTGATTTTAACTGCTGTTTTCACTCTCAAAAGCTAAAATCACATACAGCAATGTTTCATGGAAAAGACAGGAAATATTTTGAACATTCAGTAGATACTGGGTGATAGACCTTAGGTAATCTCATCGTTTTTTCTAATATTTAGAGAGCTGATAAGACTCACACGGGCACTTGAACTAGAGACTTAAAGTTCTCAAGGTCTTACATATTCATGGTCTGAAAAACTGAATAAATGCTTTGCCTCAGTCTTTAGTAATGATAAAGTTGTGATTCAAGAGATTGGTGAAGTACCTCTTGTCAGTGAGTGACTGATTATAGCAATTACTGTATCTGAGTGGGAAGCAAAGCTTAGACAGCTCACTCTCACAAATCAGGAGCACTGGATAATCTCCACCCTAGAGTAACACAAGGCAATAGCAGTAGTTCATAATCAGGGTGGATTTGATTTAAATCAAATAGATTTAAATCACTGGTCAGGAAGCTTCGGTTTAATCATTGTTTTCTACAAAAAGTGCATTCTTGTTTGATATAACCTTAATACATATTATTCACAACTCAGTGACAGATTTAGGTTTCATTTGTAGAAGGTACATGCTACACATTTTAAAGCAGTGGTTTATTTTGATATTTTTTCATTTTAATTTTGCAGCTACATCAGAAAACTGAATCATGATTTGGTTATTTTATTTACCAAAGCTAATTGAAGCTTAGCCTTATGAAGTCATTTGGGGGGTGAACTGTCTCCAATTCACTAGATTCATCATGGATATTTGGGGGATATTTTTGCCATGCTGTATTAGGAGGACAACAACAACCATCACCAAAACAACAGACATTTAAATTGGTTTATTCAACTAAAACAACTAGCTTATGTATTTTAGATATTTTTCTTTAACAACAAACATGTATAATTATTTTAATAAAGCAAATGTGTATTTTTGAATTTTTAACTATTTTAGTTATAAATGTGAAATGTGTTTATAACAAAAAATACATAGATTATTTCAGCCAGGTCAACATGAGAAACTTAAAATACTTGTAGAGAGACAATAGGATAGGATCAGGTCTGTTATGTCTTATCTCCATATACTGCTGTTAAAAAGGATGTTACCTCTGCACAAATCCAGTTTGAGAACTGAAAGTTAACTATCGCATAGATGCTTAATGGGATTCTTCTAGACTGAGCACTGAGTTTCATTGGGTAGAGAGGGTTTCTTTAATCTTTACTAATCTATACAGGAGCCGCTGTAAGATTGGGCCCCTAATACAGTCCACAGCCTGTTGTGACTTATTTATAAAACTTTTCTAAAGAGGTGACATGAATATATTGTCTCAACTAGTATATCATTAAAAGTTATAATCCCTATTCTATGATGATATCTTTGAGCTTTAACCTATCTTAAATTAAAACCATCTTTATATAGGTTTATTTTTTTTAAAGCATTGTGACAAAAAATAAAACATACGATTAAATCAAAAATCCAATTTAAATCATAAAATCCAATTTTTTTATTGTTAAAACAATCAGTGATTTTTATCCACCCTGATCATAATGTAGCTGGGTTAGTTCCCCACTTCAAGGTGACCAATTTTAGAAGTATGTTGTTGTGGGCGTCAACTTTCCCTTTTGTCTTTACACGTGATTTGAAGATAAGTGTTTGGTCCATTGTAACCCCCAAGTACACAGGGTTCTGGTGATTTCTCAGTGGGATTCCATCCCAGATTGTTTAATTTCGCTTGGATTCTCTATGATGTACGTGAAAAGATGTGACCTGCATCTTGGTTGAGTTGGCACGAAGCTGGTTCTGACTATAGTAATCCAAGAAGTTGCTCAGTGAGTATGTCAGTTTGTTTCTTGACAGTGTGGCAAAGTCCTTCTCTTGTGGTGTGATGTGTAGTTCATCAGCGTGTATGAAGGCTCTCATATTACTCTGTATGGGTTGGTCATTGGTGTATGCGCTGAAAAAGATCAGTGCTAGCATGATACCCTGCAGGAGATCATAGATTCATAGATTGTAAGGCCGAAAGGGACCTTGGAAAATCATCGGGTCCAGCCCCCTGCACCAAGCAGGAAAGATAACTGGGAGTTAGGTGACCCCAGCAAGGTGACTGTCTAGTCTCTTCTTGAAGGTTTCCAGGGTGGGTGACTGCACCACCTCTGGAGGGAGTTTATTCCACAGTCTGGACACCCTGACTGTGAAGAAGTTTTTCCTAATGTTGAGCCTGAATCAATCTCCCAGGAGTTTGTGGCCATTACTTCTGGTTTTCCTCTCAGGTGCCCTGGTGAACACTTGCTCCCCGAGCCCTTGATGTACTCCACGAGTGTAGATGTAAGCTGTTACCAGGTCCCATCTCAGCCGCCTTTTCCTCAGGCTGAAAAGTCCCAGATCCCTCAGCCTTTCTTCGTATGGCTTGCCTTTTAAGACTCTGATCATACTGGTGGCTCTTTTTTGGACTCTCTCAAGCTTGTCCACATCCTTGTTAAAGTGCGGTGCCCAGAACTGGACACAGTACTCCAGCTGTGGCCTCACCAGTGCTGAGTAGAGCAGAAGAATCACCTTCTTGGTTTTGCTGGAGATGCATCAATTGATGCATGCCAGAGTGTTATTTGCCCTTCTGGCTACAGCATCGCACTGCCGGCTCATATTCATACTGTGGTCAAATACTGTGGTCATTTTGTCATCAAATACTCTGGCTCCATTTTTTGAACAGTTCTATATAAAAATGTCTAGTCTCTAAAAGAGATTGGGTGGGCTGTACTAGGTGGTCGTTGTGCATCATACTGTAGACTTTGGCAATCAGGTTTTGGTGGCTGACTGTGTCATATGCTGCTGATAGGTCTACAAACCCAACACCTGTTATCACCTGTTCAAGCACCTACATTGAACACCTTCAAGAGAAAATTGGATGCTTATCTTGCTGGGACCCTATGACCCCAGCTGACTTCCTGCCCTTTGGGCAGGGAGCTGGACTTGATCTTCCAAGGTCCCTTCCAGCCCTAATGTCTATGAAATCTATGAAATCCCTTTCTCGCATCCACCTTTTTCAGTGCAGACAGAAGATACAGAAGATGTTCTGTCTTGAAACGTCCAGAATTTCACTCGATTGCCCATTTTTTAAGATGTCTGCAGCCATGCACTTGTGTTTGGTCATGGCTATAAACTGCTTTCTGTAGCCAAATTGGGCAAAAATTGTCACTTCTGTCTGTGTCCCTATATGTTAGGTGATGTTTAGTATTTGGCTAGTGTAGGACTTGCCTAGTCTAAATCTGCTTGTTCTGGTATTAGATGCTGTTCAATATGACGTGAAAGGTGATTGAGAATAAGGCCTTGGTAAAGCTTACAAAGATGGCACAGAAGTGATACTGGCCTAAAGTTCTCTGGGCCAGAGGCATCCTTCCCTGGAATTAATATAGATATTACACAGGCCTGTCATTGTAATTTAGGTATTTTAAGGGTTGATGAGCAATTGTTAAAAAGGCGTAATACCCATAACTTGGTTACAGGACCAAAGTGTTTGATGTGCTCCATGCATATGTCATCAAGTCCAGGTGCTTTGCTGTTCTTCAAATGACTTATTCTGGCATCAAGTTCATCCATTGTGTATGGCATGCTAAAATGATTTTCCTCCATATCAGTTTGCCACATAATCCATATTTTAGACTGTTTTTCCATAGCTTTACCACTGAACAGAGGTTGGTGAGCCATCTGATTGGCTGTGATGTTATGGTGTTGCTGTACTTTCTTTGGGTTGTTACTCAGCTTGTGAACGGTTAACCATGTTTTCCTGCTAGTGTGGGTCATATCTATTCCTGTGATCAATTCTTTCTATTTCCCTTACCTTTCTTCTTGGAGCTTGTTAGTTAGGACTGTCCGTGCCTCAGTAGTGCCTTCTGAGAAAGGATCTCTTTGAAACATTTGCTGGTATTTTTTGTATTCAGCTTCTAGTATGGGAATAAGCACTGGTACATACTCTGTTCTGCATCCTTGAGGTATACACCTCTTAGAGATTTGCGCAGTGCATTCATGAAGAGGTCATACTTATCCAAGACTAGTTTGATGTGTGTCACTACTTTGTCTAGGTTTTCAGGAAAGCCCCACCAGTCTGCTTTCTTAAAATTACAGTGTCTACGTACTGGCACATTTGGAGTTATGGCTGCTGTGATACTGACAGCAATTGATCTATGCTGTGTGTGGGGAATGGGTTCCAAAATGTCTTTTTTGCACTTCTATATTGCTGTCAACATAGGCGAGGTCAGGATTATAGCTTCATCTCCATCAGGAGCTAGTCACCCAGGTAGCTTTGAATCATAGATAAGGCTCAGGTGGTACGCCTCAGCCCACATGTCAACCAAGTTGCCATTCTCATCATTTTAACTGGAACCCCATGTGATGCTGTGGCTATTAAAGCCACCGATGATCACACATGCTTTTTCATAGTTTAGGTTTCCTGGGTTTACAAGGCAAAATGCTTCCACTGAGGCTTATAAATGGATGTTATTGAGATGTTGTCCATATTCATGGTCAAGATTTCTATGTCATTTTGTTCTGTCATTGATGTTGTGTTGATGACAAAGTCTGATTTTATGAACATAGAGCTGAAGTATTTCCCATGCAGCCTTTCTAGGGCTAATCTCATCCTAGGGATTAGTGGCCCTCTGTGTGTCTCCTGGAGACAGAGCACGCAACCATTGTAGTTGATGCAAATCCTGGAAAAAAATGTCCTGTTTGACTATCTAAGAATGTCCTGTGTCACAACCAAAGGCCTTTTTCGGGGTCAGCAGTGACAGTCATCTCTGTGAATCCCTCTCTGTTTAACGAGATGACTGTCAGTGCTGGCCCTGAAAAAGGGCTATGGTTGTGACACAGCAGATCAACCTGTTGCGAATTAGAAATTTACATTACATACATTCTGAGATTGCTGATGAAAGGTTTTAGCAGAATTTGCAGAATCATTGAAATCTGATAGGGACCCAGTTGTGAATGCTTCTGCTATGGCCTGAATGGAGAACATAGACTCATGAAAGAGATCTGGTTGGGTGAAGGCACCTTCTAAAGAAAGGTGATGAAGGAGATTACCAGGTAAAACCCAGAAGGGTGGGCATTCTTCTTTACCTGCCCTTAGTGAAGGAATTATTAAAGATAGAGGGAGAGACTACTGAGAATTACTCTGGGTTGAATAAAGACTGTTAAAGCACCAGTGACCAAAGTACCAAGTGAGGAATGGCAGTTAGTGATATAGATGAGGAAACTGAAGCTAGCTCTATACATCATAGAGAGCAAAGGACAAAAGGTGAGCATCAATAGCAATCTTAGTTACCAAAACCTAACAAGGCTCCTCTGAGCAGGCAAAAACAAAAATATGTATTAGTTGATAACTCAGCCAAATGTAGGCAGAATGTATGGATGAAAGGCATACCCCTGACATTAGCATCAGATCCTTAAAGATTTCAAATCCCTGCCCCAAAACATAGGCGCACTTAACATATGTAAAATGATATATTTTTTCTTGAGTTTTTTCTAGGAAATGACTGAACCATTTAATGTCAAATGTTCAAAAATGTCAAGCTGAGGCAAGTGCCTGGCATAAACAACTTCAGTCCAAACAGTTTGCCAAAGTTTGCCGAAGTTTAAGCAAGTAAAAATTGGACCTTGTAATATGAAAATCTATAATGTAAACTTTTTAAATAAATGGTGCTATCTGCCTCACCAGCACTATTTTATTTTTCAGGGTTTAATGATAAATCTAAGAATGTGCATATCAAAGTTTCTGCACAGACAACAGATGCAGCGAACGAGACAGAACAGAATGCCACAGGAACATCAACTAGACCAAAGAAGATCACAGAGACAACCACGAAGCATACACTGCCCACACAGTCGAGCACATTATCAAAGTACAGCCCATCTTCAATTCCTAAAGGTTGGCTGGTCATTTGTATTGTGTGTTTCATTTTGGTTTGTTAAAACATGTTTCTGGGTGCCTGTAGATGTGCGAGGACTCTGTTCTGACGTGCTGTAATTACAGCACGTCGAAGCAGACTCGATTACTTGAGTCTGCCGAAGCATGCCAATTAGTGAGCTCCAGCAGCATCTACATTGTATATTAGTGTCCCCATGCTTCAAAATGGTGGGGGGTGGAACTTTAACTAAAGTGCATCAAACAAGCTTTAGTTGAATCATAGGATGCTGGATACATTAGATGCTGCAAGTGCTTTAATTAGAGTGGCTCTCAGAGCCGCTTTACTTACATGTGCAGTGGGAGGGCACTTTAAAGATGCCCTCTGTGTCTTATCTGCAGCAGGGGCAGAGGTGTGTTTGCACACATGCCTGGATTCTCTCCCTCTCCCCTCCTATTCCCTGAGCAAAGGAAGCATCTGTTATTTCTGCTCTTCTCCCTATTACAAGTTGCTGGTTTGTTCCTGATAGAGACATAAACTCACACAGATAAAAGTATTACATGCGTTTCCTACTCATCCACCCCACTATAAGAACCCTTGTTGGAAACTACTGTATTAGAGGGTCTTTTCTGCTCAGCATTCACCAAGGGATATTACTATGATTTTTCTAGCAGGGTAGTATTTTCACAGGATCCATTTTCTGTGATATACAGACACTTTAGAAGCATTCCTTAGTGCCATTGTAGCAGGGGTGTACTTTAATCTTCTGGATGTTGCATTGAACTCTAGCAGTCTTAGAACATTGTAGCCATATTGCCTGTTTATATGGTCCCTGTGTCAAGTTCTCAACTAGCACTGATGTTGATTTGAGTCTGTTTCACACATTCCATCCAAAGCTCTCAAAGAGATTTGCAAGCATTATTTCAGCACAATGTGCCTAAAATAGAGGTAAGTGTTATTGCGTCATTTAACAGAGTTGGAAACTGAGGCACAAAAGGTGCATCTACACGTCCAATTAGCACGAAGCAATAAACTCCAGCACAGTTTGCACCAGAGTCAGCTACTCCCAAGTGCAGCATCTTCATGTATGCCTGGGACCACAGCTGTTTGAACCAAGGTGGAGCAGCCCTGGGTTGGCAGGGGCCTTGGGGGGTTAGTCATAGGCTCCAGACGGAGACATTGGATGATGGAGGGGCTGGCTGGGGCTTGAGGGAACTATAGTGTTGGGTAGCCAGCAAGCAGTCCCTGCACTTTAGCACCTTCATGCATCAGCCAGCCCTGGTCACCATCTACACGTGTATTTTGGTGCACTAAATGACTCTGTTGTAGGACAGTACTTGTCCCAGACAGTAGTATCCTACAGTGGAATTAATTATTTTACTGTGCCTTAATATGGGAGCACATGTAGATGGTAACACTTTCCTGGGGAGCTAATTAGTCAGCTCTGCAGTAAAGCACATGTGTAGATGTACCCAGAGGAGTTCTGATTTGTCTAAAGCAGTGATTCTCAACCTTTTTAGACACAAGGCACCCCTGAATAGACCCGGAGGGACTCAAGGCCCCCTAGAAAAATGTCACTTCTTCATTTTCACTAGTTTTTTTACTAAGGTAAAATAAAAAGCAATTCTTCTTTTGTAAAGACCTCAGAAAAACTACAAAAGGGAAGGATGTTTTTAACATTATGGATTCCTATTGGGAATCTCTGGATTTATTGTGTCAATTATGTTTGCACACCTAACAGTGCTAACATTGCATGCAACCCCATGGCACCCTTAAAAGGATCACAAGGAACCCCAGGATGCCATGACACTCTTGTTGAGAATTACTGGTCTAAAGACCAGGTCCACTGATTCCCAGCCCAGTAATTTAATCATAAAACTATTCCACTTAAGCAGAAGCAGAGCTTTGATCACTCAGCGGTTCCTGGGACTGCTGTTAGATGTTCACTCCATGGGGAAAGTTTGCAGTTTTGCCACCATTCATGTCCCCAGTTCTTTACTTCGCTTCCTTTTGTGTTCACTGTAGTAGAGAGGGAATGGTTGCCAGAGAACTGTTCTCTGATTCTCAGGACAGAGTAGTGCCATCCTGGGCGGGGACTGTTCTAACTTGTGCCAGCTGGCCACTGTTCCTAAGGCCTGCATTCCAGCTGAGCATAGTCAGAGTACTACATGCTCCAGCCATGATTTTCACTTCCATGCTTCTCCTCTATTCTCAAAGTTTCCCTGTATTTGGAGCTGGAGCCCCATACCTTGGCTTGCCACTAGCTGAGAACCCAGAATTTATTAGCTGCCCAGATCAGTTGGTTGCAGTCTGTTTTGCTACCTAGCCAGTAAAAACAGGGGCAAGAGCACAAGTATGGCATATGTTAAAGGTATTTTACCTAATATAGGTAGTTGTACACCAAACTCTTTGGCCCATTATTTACATAACTCAAGAACAGAATGAAGAATATATGCCAGTTCATATGACAGGTAAGTAACAATGCGAGTGACCAGCACAATTTTAGTAGTTATTGCAGTTTACACCTTTACTCCACACTGAAATCAGGCTGGGTCACATCAGACTGATGACCCACTTTTTCCACATCCCCCCACCCCCCCCAAAGATGTGGTGGTGTTCTCCAGAATTTCAATTTTCTTACCCTTATGATGGTCTAAAAATATACATGGTGTAGAATAGATGCAGGCAAATTGGTCTAAGTTCACAGATAGTCTTAGAAATATTTGTTCAGAGGTAGCCAGATACTCAATGATGATAATTCAAAAGGAAACTTTATCCTTTATTTTTATTTATATGTTTATTTGATTTATATGCTGCCCCACTCAAGGCTCAGGGGAGCTTACAAAAGAGAGCAAATTTACTTATAAAACAGGCAAAAGAGATTGAAACAGGAGAAACAATATATAAAAGTATTAAAATAAACTACATAGCAACCCTGCCCCACCCCCAAATAATATCCCAATATTTTGTCCTTAGTGAAAGCATGTAAAAAGGTACAGAAAAAATTACAGCACAAAGAACTGCACAATATCCTGTGAGGGGCATGTGCATTCATTATCATGAATAGGGAGGCACATGAAGCATTATCATCGTTTTTTTCCCCTGCTGGAGATGAGCAATGGAGCCCAGAGGGATGTCCAAATTAAGAGGGTGTCCAGGCCTCCCCAAATCAACTCTCGGAGTAGATAAATCTGGTCTGTTAGCATGAGGAATGTGAGGCCAGTTAGCATGCCCAATATTAGGCAAACTCAGGCAGCCATCACCATGCTAATGTTCTGATCACATGCTCAAATTTCTCTTCACAACCCAGCATCAGACAGACAAAGGGTAGGAGTTAACTGAACTATCTGAACAATGCCATTAGATGAAATTGTCCCTCAGTCAGCCTTTTGTCCATTACAGGCCTTGGGATATAGTGGATCTCTTCAGGGGCTGCCTGATCTTGCTTAAAGAACCTGTACCGTCTAAGGTGTATGTTGTGCTCTTTTGGTATCCAAAGGGCAGAGCTTTGGAGAACAGCACTTTCTGCCCAGTTCAACCCTTAGTAACAATCCCATCAGGTTGGGGCACTGAATACCAGTGCCTCACAATAAGAAACATATCCTGCCCTGAAGGCCTTGCCATGTAGATTACAATGGATGCAGCAAGTATTCATGCAGGGAAGATAAAGGCCACAGGAATCATAATGCAGACATACGAAGTGTCATGCAAAGCAGGATCATGTAGTCTGTCAACTTTACTAAATAACATTTCCTGCTGCACTTTTAATTCATTGTGATGTTGTATTTAAATTTAACTTAAATTAATTAAATGTACCGATCAGAACCAGAGGTCTCAAAAAATCACACTGAACCCAGGCATGTGAACACAATCGCTGAAACCACACGAGTACCCAAGACGACTAGCAGACATGACATCAGGATGACCACGGAAACTCTAGGACCCATCAGGACGGACACCCCCAACAGGACAGACACACCCACTGCAGAACCCCCGGGTAAGGAAGAACAAACATCTCCAAGTATTAACAGAACAAACACAGTAATAAGGATAGTCCTTGGTGGTCCTAAAATATAAGAGGTATCTAAGCAATAACCATGAAGTTTGAAAGCCTAAGGTTTGAAAGCCTAAAGGTTTGAAAGCCTAAAGGTTTTAGGTTTGTTTTAAGGAAGTAAAGACAGAATTACAAACATCAAGAGAAATCAGTAGAGCAAGTTAAGGCTCATAGAAATGGGAGATGAGTTTTAAGCTTTCCACAGCCCTCACTTCCCAGGAAACCACCCTAAGCACCAGCTGCTAGAAAAGTTTTGGGGAAGTGAGCCATCTACCCCCTTCCAGTTTTAGCTAGGCTTCTGGGAAGCCAAGATTGCAACAGGTATGGGACCAGAGAGAGCAAGTGTGCAAGCAAGAAGTACCCTGATTAATATTTCAGAGTTTAGGCCACTTGGGGAGGAAAGGTAAGTTCTGGGTTCCAGTCCCTGGTTCCCAGGATACTTTGCACATTCAACACTAGGCAATGACTTATTAAAAGCAGAAAGAACCCTCTGAGCAGTAGCAAAAAGAGTCCTATGTGGCCCTAAGAAATAAGAAGTACAAGTAATAATCTGTAAGGATGTGCAAAGCAGGCCCTATTTGATTTGGATTTGGATTTGGCCCAAATCAGGGACAGCGATTCAATTCATTGATTCGGATCACTGTCCCTGATTCAATTTGGCCAAATCAAAATGTGTAGATTCAATGCTGATTTGGAGAATCAGCAATTTGGACATAGACACAGCTTTAAAAGTTTTTTCTACATACCTTGAAGTACTAGACGCAGCTTGTGATCGCTGCGATGCTGGGGCACATGGAGCATCCCACAGGAATGCGGGGGGGCCCTCCACATGCTTGGCGCCGAACTTGGAAGTGGACCAGAAGTACTTTCAATCCACTTCTGGGTCTGCCAGGGAGTGTGCTGGGGGGCCTCCATGCCTCCCTGCCTCAGGGGGATCCTGGGAGCCCCCCCGACGCAGGAGGCACCAGTCACTGAACCAGAGGGTACGGGGGGGCCCCCCGTATGCTCCCTGGCAGACCCAGAAGTGGATTGAAAGTACTTCTGGTCCACTTCCAGGTCTGCTGCTGAGCACACTGGAGAGTCCCCTGTGCTTCTGTAGTACACTCCATCCACCCCAGCATCATAACATTCAAGAGCCCCTGCTACCTAGAGGTATGTAGAAAAAACATTTAAAGCTGTCTCTATGTCCAAATCTTTCCAAATCTCTCAAATCAATTCAGAGGGTTCCGATTTCATTCGGAGAGTTTAAAGGGTCCTCTGATTTGATTCAGATTTGGAGATTCGGCCACCGAATCGGGCTGAATCTTTGCAGAATTGAATCAGGATCTGAAGCTTCGCACACCCCTAATAATCAGCTATGAAATTTACTTTTAGGGACTCAGTAAATCCTGTGCCAGTCTTAGTTGGTGGGAATGGCTACCAAATTCCAGGTTTAAGTTTTGTTGCAAGGAGATAAAAACAGTATTGCAAACTCTAAGTGGTATTCATTTGAAATTGAAGGGAGACCCATTTCTTAAACACAAAAACATGGATGAAAAATAGAAATGTTAACACTTTTTTTTCTTTTTCTGTTTGTGCTTTTGACAAGCTCTAGAAGAGGTCAAAATTAGTTAATTTTAGAAGAAATTACCAAAAATTGTGATTTACTTCTGATTGTACCCATAATGCATAAAAAACTTACAAAAAGGCAAAGTCTCTAGCTTTAAAGTAATTCTAGTTATTATACTTCTATCTGTATTTTTTCACAGAGGCAAGACAACACTCTAAGCTAGGTATGTAACTTTTAATGTATATTTTTCTACTTACCAATAAATCACCCATTTTCCTCTCTCCCTACCCCTTCTTCTTTGTCTTTCTTTTCTGAGTTGTGAAGCATTTTTTCTTTTCCCATGGATAGTTTTGAAGAATATACTGAATGCTTACATTAGCCTGAAAAAAATCTGCATCTATGAAGTAGGCTTATAATTAGGGACCTACTCAAATTGCAGTTTTGCAGACTACTGAAATAGGGCAGTCTCCGCAAAATCGGCAGGGGGGAAAAAACCTCACTAAAGTGCTGACTCCCCAGTGGGAACCAGAAGTCCTTCCAGCTACACAGCCTGGCATGAACAGAGCTGCCTGCATGAAAACGAGCAGACAAGATGGCTACACCCCAACTCTTGCCACTGATTGACTGAGAGGGCTTCCTGTCATGTGGCCCTTCAATGAGGGGCGGGTCTGCATGGCAAACAGTCCTTTCCACCAGTCAGTGGTGGGGGGTGGTGTTACCAGGGCCCCTCGGCCAATCAGAGGAATGGGGGCACCCCACAATTATAAGCCCATGAAAATAGCTGCCCGTGAAATTGGCCGGCCACCATCTTGAATTGGGTAGACCCCTACTTATAATGACTCTTTGCTAAGACTTGGGATAAAGTTGGGATATACTGTGGTCACTAGCCAGAACACGTGAAACAAAGGGGAAAAAAATGTATCTTTTATAAATGTACTCTTTGTTTTAGTGCCTAGGAATAATTACCAATGTATGTTTTCTGATGCATGATGTTTTTTCATTTTCCTCTGAAAAGAGAATTGTTTCCTGTGGTGCTGCACATGCACATGCCTTAAGCAGGGTTTCTTCAGCTTTTCCATAGTAAGGCTCACAAAATAACAGAGGAATGGTTTTGGGAAGGAATCATGAACCTCTGCTTTAACATACTTTACCATTTTTGTGGTTACTTTTGGGAATTTGTTGAACTGGCTAGACATTTTATTGAGAAGACAAATACTTATAATTCAGTTGATGTTACATGATTTCATCACATGATATGATTTCTTTTCTTTTTTGTTTTTTTAAAGACATGTTTGCTGCAATGCATTTTGGGTGTTCAGATCTCAGTAAGTTGTGCTGATCATCCAAAATACCCAACACTTCATAAGTTTATCTCTTGAGTGGTAAGGTATCACAAATCATGATAAGGGAAGTATGGAAAATGTGTATTTGAATTTGGTTCAGATAAGCACCAGGTAGATCAGGCATTAGCCCTATGATTACCTGATTTTTTAGGGTTTTAAGTCTAATAAGAATAAGTATTTTTATTTCTAATATTTCAATATCTTTGTTCCATACCAGCTGGAAATAAAATGGGGAAAAGGAGAAATTCCATCCAAAGATTTGACTTCAACTGTAGAAACAGAAAAAGGGATGCTGGGTTTATATTATTTTTAAACTGTTCACCTAAATTTAATGGCAAGCTGTTTGTTTCTTTAGATGTAAGAAATACTTCCACTCACATTATTAGATCTGATCTATCAGTCTCATGACTGTAAGGAAATATAAAGAAAATATAAAGAAAAAAGGAAACAAAAACTCTATCAAGTTATTGTTTAAATTCAAGCAGTATTGCTTCAGAAGGCATATAATGCTGAGTCCTACCTTGGCTTTGAAGCAGTCCGCACACATCCAAGATGAAGCTCACAAGCTCTTGAGAAAACTGCACAAATCACCATGTTCTGCAAAATTTCTGGTGACTGGGCAAAAAAGTAGAAATACTCTCATATAAAGCAGTGATGTATTCTTTAGAGCAGGACTGTCTGATAGCCGGAAGCCATGTTCTAGATGGGTATTAAAAGGACCAACTGGGCCAAAAGGGCCTTATACTGTTTTGCTCAGGGCTGTTTTCTTTCAAAATTCTTTTTTGGTCTGTATTCCTTCCCTATGCCTTCCCTCTCCAAGCAATAAAGCTATGTATCATAGGAAGCCTGGCAGTAAATGTTTGAAAGAGATCAAACAAGCCTTTTTGTTCCCTTTGCTCAGCTAAGGGAGGCTGCTTTCTATGCTTCAGGCTATAAGAAGCACCCAGATATATCCTGCTAGGGTTAAGCAACCCCTAGGTCTACAGGGCCTGTGTACCCTGAGCAGTATAGAGCCCTAACAGAGGCCAGAGCTTGGTTGGTGGCAGCAATTACCCCAGGCTTGTGGGTGTGCTCCAGGAAAGGGGTTGGCCAGAAGTTGGCACCCCTTGGGAGGCATCTGAAGCTTGGTTTTGGTCAGGTGCAGTGAGGTGGGTGGCTCAGCGCCAGAGCACCCCCTACTGGCCCGCCTCACAATGCAACATGGGGATACCCAGGGCAGGAATGGCCACATGGCATGGTCTGTGGCACACACAGCACGTGGCCAAGGTGGGCAGGGGAGAGGAGGGAAGGGGGGATGTGGCCCCCAGCTATTCAGAAGTTGAACAGCCCTGGTTTAGGCTAACTACCATGATGTTCAACAGATACTTAGAGGGTGTGAAAATGTGGTCATTCTAGGTTGATTTGCTAAAAGTTTAAGCTGTAAGAAAATTACATTGCATTGTCAACAAAGTCAGTTACAGAAATGAAATACCATATACGTGACTTGTTTTTTACACTCATCAGATTTTGATGTAGTGCATTTTCATTTCAAAGCACAAGAAGGTAAAGTTTTTAGTGTAATATATAATAACGGTTCACTGTTGTGCTATCATCTCACCACCAAAGGTATGTATTCTGTCTCTTTCTTGATAACTTACAATACCATACCACGCAGATAACTGCTACTGTTTGCTTTGCTCTTTTAGTGACGATACTCATCATTGTCTTTGTAATCCTTCTTCTTGCTCTCACATTCTGTCTTTGTTACATCCGGATGAAGCTAAAGGTAAGTCTAAACTAATGATCACAATATTTGTTATTCTTGGTAGTTTATCAGTTCCTTCAATACTCTCTCAAGTTTTCAATGTTCCTTTTCATTTGAAAAAGGTTTTACTTATGATTTGCTCTCCTTTGGGGATTTCTGTCATTGAACAGCACTTTTAATTTTATTACTCTTAATCAGCATATTATCCCCAACTACCTTGATCACCTGATCTGTCCTGTCTCCTTCTCCATTCTGTCACCAGCAATCATGCACTGGCAGAATACTATCTGTGAAAACATCACAGACCCCGTGGGGATGTCTGCACTACTCCCCTACTGATTCTTGGGTTGTCACTCATTAGCATTCTCCATCTATCCACCCCCCCTCTGCATGTACCACGCTTGGAAATTAAATGCTTAATCTGATCTAGGGAGAACCCACACCCCTTCTCTTGCCATCAAGATCTCTGTCACCAGCATGTTAGAGAGAGTCTTGGGGGGCAGGGAGGGAGGGGGGTGGGTTGGGGAAGATTCACTGCCTCATTTCCAGATTAGGTATATATGGAGTGGGAGCAGATGATCAGGGTACACTTGAGTGTGGTACACCTCATAAGCACTGGAGAAGTGTGGTACAAATATATTCTAAATGAATCTAGCACATCCAGCTTAGCCTGAGTGCTATAATACTTTGAAGATAATAAAAATTTATTGTATATTACTGTTGTTGACACAGAAAAAGGTCAGGCCTTTCCCTGCAATCTTATCGCTTAAAAATAACTAAGGTGTACTAATGTGTTCAAGTATTAAGCGCTTCAAATATCAAGCTGCAACAGAAGCAGATGGCTATATGAAACAGATTATATAGATTAAAAAATAAGAACAAGAGATTATCTGCTGCTGCTGCTAACAGCATCATTACCATCATCAGTATGGTTCTTAGGCATATACAGTACCTGTGTTAACATAATTGTATTTCCTGCACAGAAAGATCAATTTAACCTCAAAAGAGGAGATACAAGCGGAGACGATTCAAGCATTCCATTAAAAACTATTGAAATGCCAGCCTCAAAATCAGGTAGCGTATTCTTGGTATCCTTGGTTCTGAAAGACCACAAACTGTGTGTGGAAGGGATATGTGATAATAGCTGTTATGCTTTAGTTTCTGATACTGTGCTTCACAGGATCTAAACCAGCACTTCCTTCAGTTTCTTCCAAACTAGTTTGCTGCCCCAAAAATATCATTTTGAGTTCTGGACTGAGAAAATCTTCAAATAAGACTCAGTCCATGCCTATTGGTATAGCATTAAACCAAGAAACACTATGAATTCTGGAAACCAGGTTCACTTACAAACCATGTTTTATGGTCCCTGCTATTTATGTAACAATATTATACAGTACAATTGCTGCATTTACCATCTTACTCTTAATTCATGTACATTTTTCATGTTTCTCTTTTTCCTTTGTATCATTTTTAGATGGAGAAATGAAATGAAATTCCTCTCAGTTCAGAGCAATTTAACAGCTCCTACAAAAAGAATGAATATGACTGAATCTTCCGGGAAATCTGCTTAATTAGAGAAAATGGCATACTCAGTTGTGTAAACTCCTTTAACAGGACATTTTGTGAATCAACAAAGCTAGACACAATAATTAACAGAGGTTAATTGTTGCTACTATTAATCTTCCCTTATTCATTTCCTTCTGTTCCTACTCCACTGTGACCTTGTTAAAAAGCCAAGTTCCCTAATATAGGGATGTCTTCAAAAGGAAATTACTGTGTTGTAGCTTGACTGAGAATTTACAGCCCACTAGTTACTCTGTACAAAATCCCCATATGGACACCGTACATCTTCACAATGCAGGAAGCTACCTTGCACATAAACCACAGTAGGTTCACATGAAGAGGTAAAGCAGAATCGCTAGTACTTTGTAAATTCATATCCTAGCTTACTGTGCCAAGAAGCAGGGTAATTTAGTTTCTGAGGCACTTCATATTATCACAACTAGATGCATCTGGGACCTGAGTTATCTCTGCATCTGTCCTACACTGCAGTCCACAATGTATATGTACCTGAAGAGCATCCATGTGTAGGCACATCGACTGTTTTCCAACGGCTAAACCACAACACTGAAGCAGAAGCTGGAATCAATATGGACTTGTATCATTGTCCACAGGACTGGTGGAGGCACAGTGTCTCTCCAGGTCCCCAGCATGCAAGGCTATTATGTCTCTTCCTTTTCTTTGTCCCTCTCCCCTTCCTTTGAGGTGGCTTGTGGCTCTGCACATAACCAAAAGAAAGGTGTTATAGATGATGCAGCACTTGTGCTATCCTGAGTGTAGAGATTAGGATATTCCCACTTCTACAGGGCACATCTAGATAGGCCCCTATGGTGCCGTTGTTGCTGCGCCATTATTTAGTACTTCCTTCTGGAAGTACTAAATGACAGTGCAGTAACAGCCTGTACTGCGCAGTGCTGTTGCGCACAGTTATTTTTAGCCACTATGTCACTGTAGCAATGCATTATAGTGCGGGAGTGCATTGCTACAGTGACAGAGCTTCAGTGTAACAGTTTGAGCCTACTAACACTAGGTTGCTGTAGCACATTGCTACGGTGATGTAGTGTCGTGTGTAGATGCACCCGCAGACATTCGGGAAGGATAGAGGGGATGTTAGATCGTGTTAAAAATGGCCCCCTCATCTAACTTAGTTTGCCCAGGTGTGGACCTTACACCTAGAGCTCTAGTTAAGCTGATCTAAGTGAAAACTGTACACAATTCAGAAAGTTTAGATTAGTCTAATAATAGCCGACCCAATCTAAATTAACTGTAACCTGGAGGTAGTCCAACTTAGATAGGGTCCAGCGAAACCAATTTTACTGAATTTCTGTACAATTCTCACAGCAGTGCCAGGACTGGGAAAGCCCAGCCACTAGCCCCAGTCTGGAGGCTCCACTTTTCCTACCCGCCCCCCTGGTACTGGCCTATTTTTTGGGCCCCAGCCTCTCACTCCATCCCTAGATGAATAGCCCTCCCTGTGGACCAAGCAGCCTTACTGAGCCTGCCAAATTCCTCATCCTGCAAGCTGCTCCCAGTGCTGGTTTTATTGGCATTAGCTGGTGCTAGGAGTCAAGGAAATATGTTGGGGTGGGGGAAGTGGAGAGTGCGATGCTGGGGGGTTCATCTGGGGATGAAAAATAGCCCCTGGTCCCAGGAAGGAAAGAGCCCTCCCCCCAGACCCTACTGGTCCCTCTGATCCCACCAAAACCCTCCCAGAGTCTACCCCCGCCCCCCTAGGGACCTATTTTGCCCCTCAGATGTTAAGTTCCCCATGGTGAACTATGTTAGCCCCCCTGACCCTCCTCCACAGACCCCACTTGCCCCTCCAAGTTTCCCAGATCCTCCCATAGACCCTGCTAGCCCCACACCGAACACTTCTGATCCCCTGATTCCTCAAGCCCATCCACTAGCCCCCCATCCCAACTTACCTTAGATCAGGTGACCATTTTTGACTTGATCTAACCTCCCTGAATATTTGTTTGTACCCTCAGTGAAGTCCAAAAGAGGTGCAAGTATAACTTTATGTGCATCTTGCTCCCATCAATGTACCCGCACAAAAGCCTGGAACAAGTTAATCCCAATATTTTTGTATATGGCTTGTCTTCTACTCAATGAACTAAAGAAAAGGGAAGTTCTGAATAAGATATTTTTATACGTAAATATTACACTGCTTCTGGTTTCCCTGAGCCTCAGCTCCCCATCTCTAAAACAGGAATAATAGCATTTCCCTATCACACAGTGTTATGTGATACGGCACTCAGATGCTTGAGTAATAGCAGCCACTGAAGTGCCTAGAAGAGGCAAATCACAAAGAAGCAAAATTTGAAATAAGACTGACAACTGACCAATTTTGTACTGTTTCGGAAAGTGCCATTGTATCTTCCTACTATATATTATGAATTTGTGTGATATCAGATTGTAATTAATACTCAGCATTCTATAGCAATGAAAAAATGAAATCATTTCACTTTCTTACATCAAGGGAAGGGAGGAAAAGGCCCAGAACTGTACTACTGAAGTGAAAGGGGTACTTGCTGTTGACAACATAGGAACAAACTCCCACTCAGACAGACAATAGCAGGTCCAGGAACTGGGTGAGTGGCACAAGTCCTGCCTACCTTCCTCTCCCCACCCTGTAACTTCGTCTGTGGAACACATGTGCACTGAGCTCTGAGCTCTCTGTCTGGCTACTGCCGGCTCCTGCATGAGCAGTGAGCTCTGACCTCACCAGGTCCTTGGGGTGGAGTCTGGCCAGAGCCCTGCTTTCAAGTGGTTCTGAAATCCTGGGGGTGAACACCACTACTGCTTACCTTTCTTCCCCTCCCTGCTGAATTCAGCAGCTGGGGAAAAGACAAGTGGTAACTGCAACATTCACCCAATGGGCTCTGGCCAAACGCCACGCTTAGAGATTGCATGTAGCACAGCCAAAGGGAAGGGATGTGACTGTGCCACAATGCCCCATGTGGATCCACCCTTGGAGAAGGCTGATTGGAAATGTTCCCCACTTTCTTCCAGGTGCTTAATAAATGACTGATGTTTTTTCTTATTTGTACATACTCTAAGTTATGGATAAGATAATTACAACAATTATGTTTTGCTAAGAATTGCAGTTATAGCTCTCTTTCCTCAGAAGAAGAATAAAATCTAAACTCTTGAAGAATCACCCATCACCTGGTTTTGTTTGATACATGGTAGATATATTCTGCAGATTTTACTTTGGTTAAATAAATATCTTTGTCAAGCTGGATTAATTAAACATTAAGCATGTGTTTAAGTGTCTTTACGAGATTAGTGCTATACAGGGTAACAAATGGTGCTAGCTGAATGCTGCAGAAATGGCCTTCACAAATATTTGTTTATTCTCAGCCAGCAGTTCAGGTCATTCCTGTTTAAATCCTATTTTATTTGATCTTTGCAAATATTTGTGTAACTGGCACTTTTTACAAATGTTTGTGTAGTGGCTGTGCTTCGTGTGACCTTTTGTGAGATGTTGTGTACTATCAGAGTACTTGCTGTTCATTATTTGGCCCTTATCATTTGTTATCAGACTGCTTCAAATGCTTTTCACCCATTCAGCAACCCACAAAAAAATTCTGATGTAGGTGACCGATCTCAAACCATGAATATTGAATGTCAGATAGCAGAATGACTCGCAAACTGAGAATTATTTGTCTATGCTCATCTAATTTGTCTATGCTTCTAATTTGTCTGTGCTCATCTTGTGCATGTTCATCTTCTAATATAGCAAGATCAAGTAGCTTAAGTTGCAGCAAAGTCTATTTTGGTTGTGAATTTGGAAAAAAAAGGTTTGACTATATAAAGAGAGTAAAGCACTGAAGTAGGATATTTAGAAAAACATGGAACCCTGTTTATTAAGATTTTTAAGATCAATTAAGATAAGTTTCTTTGAGGCATTGTCCAGATATACATAGTCCTGCCTGAAAGCAAGAGGATAGACTAGATGACCTGTTGAGGTCCCTTAGCCTCACAATTCTATGAGCTCTGTGAAAAACATTAGCAGGAAACTAGATCTGTTTAGGAATGATTTGTGAATCAAAACTAAAAGGTCAGTTGTTTTGCAATATATAATTCAAAAAATGCTAGAAATATTTTCTCCCATTTTAACTAACCAGCCCTCACAATGACTTGTCTTCATTGTTTCTGGACTTAAAATGTCTACCAACTTACCTTAAATTAAGTATTTTTAAGAGAGACCACAATTAACACTCATGCCCCAGAGGTGATTAAATGGTAGATGTGAAGCTCATTCCCATCCTGGTTTCAGACAGAAGTGAGAAGATGAGAGAACTTTCTAGCTACCATAAGGACAGTTTTCATTACCTCCTCAGAGTCAGGGGTTATACAGTGTGCACTTCTATTGTCATTTATTCTGTGAGAATCACAATTCTACTTTGCATTAATAAACTCTGGAAGACAACTGATAGCCATTGCTGTGTTTTGCTAATAATCTATTTAAGCATCATCCAAAGTAGTGGCCTAAAAAATGCCTTTGGCCAAAAAATTCTTGTCAAAGGCTGAATGTGATTTATATGGTGAAACAATATATTTATTAGGTAAAACAAATAAATCAGTAAGCTTTAAGAGTATTAGTGAGTAAATGTATTGGGAATATTGTATTTTTATTTATATTTCATGTGGTTTTAAAATTGTACCCTGTTCATCTATCAAATTATATGCTTTGAATAATAATTTAAAATAGCTTTATAATCACCATTGTTTTATTAACAAATCTTCTGCGAGTAAGAAACATTATACATCCTAAATCATTATACATTTACATAGACGTGACTAGAAGTTCTTTTTCATCTCACTCGATAGAAAAGCAGAGGGTGAGCATAGCAACATGGAATCCAAAGTATGGGTAAGTGTTAAAAATGGCAGTTTTTAACTGGTAGCTAGGTAATTGCCACTTATGCACATGAAAGTGAAAAAGGATTTAGCTTGCTGTGTCTTAAGGACTCATATCTAAAGCATATCTGCTTATGGATCCCCCAAATATTGCATCAGTTATGGAAATCTGCTTTGCCCACATTCACAGAACTCAGGTCCATGAAAATGTAAAAGAAGAACACTGGAGTCTAGATACCCCATGTACATCTGAAAGAGGATTGTGCTCAAATACTGGAAAACATTGGATTCTGTGAAGTCAGCAGTGAAAATGCTACCCAAAACTTGACAAAGCATTCCTGATGGTGCTAATGCATTCACAGTATGAATATTATAG